GAGTTGGAAATCGCCTCAATCATGCCCATGTACTGACTGTCTTCCATCGTGACTGCACCTGTAAAATGATAGTAGGCTCTCCGAAGGCCTCGAGAGCCTCACTTCTTGTATTGTGAGCGTTCGTTGCATTCACGGTATTATGATCACCCCGTATACGCCTCGTCGATTAGTTATGGTTATGTCATGTAGTCTGGCATCAATTTTATGGTAGGTAGTAATGTATACAATTTTCGGCTGTGAGAGTTATTGGAGACGCCATAGAACTGAGAGGGACTGTACTCTGACTGGGCAGGTTGTTGGCGGCAGTATTGAAGTCACTAATAATGAAGTAGAACACTGAGGTGTCGAGCGGGGCCTATGCACACATTACCTGAGCATGGCTGACTGAGGTCGGTAGGCTTTACTCTTCCTGGATAAGGCTGCATGATGGCCACGGCTTATCTTATCCGTATCCCTATCACTGAGTATGATTCTAGCTTCTCCTTTATCACGCTGAGGCATTGGGTTATGAAATGGTCGAGGAGTGGTAAGCCGGTTGCATCTAGTTGCTGCCGCAGCTCGAGAAGCTGTGTTAACGCTGGTTGAAGATGATGGCTGCTAACAGGCCGAAGGTCACCCGCAATGTTACTGTGTGTACCATGATGCCGCTACGGCGGTGCATAGAGAATCATATGGGGGATATTAGTCAGTGTGTGAAGGAGGTATGCTGCGGCGGAGTAGGCCAACAGTAGAGGGTTTTTGTCAGGTTCGAGACTTCGAACGAACATGCAATAAGCGGAAGCACTATGTACATGATCGTGATGGCCTCGATGACTGCAGGAGTGGTCTCTACGGCTCTAAGCAGACAGTTTGAGTGTCTCTTTGCTGGGCTCATGTAACAGTTACCAAAGCGAGAGTAGAGTTTTTCACGATGATCATGGTGATGGTCTTGTGTTGGGAAGTCACATAGAATGCGGAGGTTTGGGGTGTTCGGTGCGAGTGGTGATCTCTAATGTGACTTAACATCCTATGCGTGAGTGAACTGGACAGCAGTCACCCAACGAAGTGTTCGCTTACCTACGCGTGATTTCGTTAGCTTAGCTATCGCTATGGTACGACGATGAGCCTTGCCAAAGACACGTACTCTAGACGACGCTGGTATCTGTTGGCCTACTTAGGCTCGCTGATCGTAGGCTATCTCTATCTCTACTACACCGAGTCGCGCGAAGCCCTGTTCATTTCGGGACCGCAAGATGTTCATCAACTGTCACTAGCATCTATTACGGAGGAGTGTTACAACTCGACCTTGATTCACCTTGCCTCACAAGAGTCTGATCCCTTTTTGTTCGAAGCGGGTGTAGGCCGACCCTACGTTGTTGATCTGGGCTTCGCTCATGGTCTTGGACACAAGCTGGAGTTGCAAATGCTGACCATGGTAGCGGGTCTCCGTGGGAGGGGTCGTTTCCTTGGTGCACTGTGGAGGGCTGAAGGCGGCAGTGGCGAGCATACTGATATGAACACAGCTGCGCCGCTACTGGCCCGACTGTGGGGCGGCAACATAACACATGATACCGCCATTGAGCTGAAGAAGGCTGTGAAGTATTCGCCCTCGAAAGACGGCTCTTGTCCACGCAGAAATGCTGGCAAGAGGGTGCAGGGCGAGAAGGGGATCGCTGGCAACACGCTGGATCAGGTGGCTTCCTTCTTGGGCACGGGTCATGGCCTCGTTGTGATCTGTCCCTGGTTCGACAAGAGCACTGGGGGAACTCCGTCGTCGAGTGAAGAGCTGGTGGTGCGAGAATGGCTACGCTCCCGTATTATAAGCGAAGGCAAAGGCAGCACCTTGTTCGTGGGAGGCACTGATGATATTCTCATTGCTGTCCACATAAGACGCGGGGATCTACTCGATCGTCAGCAACACCGTATGACTCGCAACCACTTCTTCGCGAAAACCGTGGCGCATATACTTACCCAACTTGCGCCTGATAGCTCAGCTCAGGTCGTTGTTGTTAGTGAGACCTGGCGAGAAGGCGATCACGAGTGTAGTCGAAAGAAGAAGCTTTGCAACCACTTAGGCCAATCAGTGGACTTCGAGGTCTCTCTACGAAAGCAAGTCGCTGATCTCGGTCGCGACTTTCCTGGCAGGTGGCGAGTCAGTGTCTATCTCGACGCGGACACAGCGCGGTCCTTCCTCACATTGGTCGCGGCAGATTTGGTGGTTCTGTCGAATAGTGGTTTTAGTGCATGGGCTGGGCTATTGAGCACAGGTATTGTCCTCTACCCCGCTGACGCCAAGGCCCAAAGTGTCATGCGGCGTATGGCTTCCGAAGCCGTCAGCCCCATACCTATCCGTTTGACAGATGCATGGGACCAAGAGAGTGTGGCAGGGGAGTGGTCGCGGTATCAGAAATGCCCGGCCAGGCATCGGATTCGTAATGCAGTTGTGAGATGACGAGCATGTAACATGTATCATTCACTGACTATCTCCACAATGATCATCTCTATGTTGGCCTCGAGTTGCATGAGGGAAAACTAGTGGTCTTGCATGTTCCTCCCATTACGCTGTCAATGATGATAACAACTTGAAACTGCGCTTTGCGATCACCTAGTAACGCTACGTAGCCAACGAATACATATGCCAATTAGAAAGCCTTAGTGTTCCGCTCGATGTGGTTTCTGTGAGAGCTTGCAAGGCGGGTCTATATGGTTTCAATGGAAGCTTGTAAGAATCTCGAGGGTAAGCTATCTCTAATGCGTGGAAACTGAGCTATTACATATGTGAACAAAAAACAACAGCGCATGAAACAGATAGTGAATCACAGAGCGAATGTTGAAACCCATCTACGAGCAACGGACAGAAATGTCGCGATAGTCACCACGTCATGAACCACTCTTGCTGCCGTTCTTGGGTATGATGCCTTTCACCTTGTGGTAAAGTGGTGGCGACAGTAGCTTCTTCAGAGGGTAGGAGACGAGCCTGCAAGGCCATGGATGGTGGTACGAGGTAGTAGCAACGACAGCGATGATGATGATAACTCACCCTTCCGTCGTCTCGCACACGACTTTATCTCCGGACACTTTCCGTATTTGTTTAATCATAGTGGTATCATCCAGATCGGTTGGTGATCTGAGGAATCTCTCGGCGATCTCTTCCGTGAGCCGTGGTCTAGGATATTGTAGAAGCCAGCAAGTCTCAGGGCCTGCCTTTGGTGGGGTAGTGCTCATACTAACATCAACCTACCAACTGCAGAGAACCAGCATCATAGTGTCCGATACGAATCCATCATCAACTCGGAACCCGCTTAGACCGAATTGATCAGCTTCCGAATGCCGACAGCGGCCACCTAGTGAGGGAGCGATTGTACCCTATCGAGTGTAGTGAAGCAAGGACCCAACCGGATCAGTAACCTCCGTGATGAATGTCCGAATCCAAACTACATTATTTACATGTCAGTATTTTGCCTAAATTACCAACAATTTTCTAATTTTTTTCGAAAAAAATGCTCTCCCTAACTTTTTACCGACTTTTTTCAATGAATTGCCCAAAATTTTCATGAAAAAGCAAATCTTGTTGAAAACTTACCAACTTTCAATTAACGACGTTAGTTTGGCCTACACGACACAGGCCCTTAACCGATCCGATCCTATTATCTTAACGCAAGCCGCAATTCACGAGAAACTTGCGAAATCGAGAATTTCTCACAATCACGAGGCCATTCTCTAAGATAGTATCTCAAAGATACATAGTCTTTAAAGGACAATTCCCCATACATCAAATCCACCCATCGCCTTGGAAGCGATTAGTTTTAAGACATGTATATCTTTCCCTGCTGATTACACCCCGTCTTGTGTGAACTCGATTGCCTCTGACGCTCCTCAGTTCTCTCCGACAATACATATTCACACTAGTTTCATCTCAGTACAGTACGTGTCATAACTGTATGCTTACATGCGCAGTACTCATTGCATTGGGCGCAAGATAGGGGACGTGTAACCACGCTGCGATCGCTCGTGGTGAATGCGTTTTTCTAAGAAGTTGGTAAAACACAAAAAATTCGGGCAAAAGATCAAATTAGCATGGAAAAGCTGTGGA